CAGTTACCATCAAGTTAATTCTGATTCACAGCAACCCCATGTGTATAGAACTACACTTCTTGTTGTTAGGTGCCATCAAGTTAGTACCGACTCATAGTGACCGTATGCCCAACAAAACGAAACACTGCCTGGTCCTGGGCTTGAGCCCATTGATGCTGCCACTTTGCCAATCCATCTTGCTGGGGGGTCTTCCTCTTTTTCTCTGACCCTCCACTTTACTCAACATGATATTCCTTTCCAGTGACTGGTGTTTCCTGACAACATGTCCAATGTATGATAGATGAAGCCTAGCCATCCTGGCCTCCAAGGAGCACTCTGGCTACACTTCTTCCAACACAAATCTGTTTGTTCTTTTGGCAGCCCATGGCACTTCCAATATTTTTCTCCAACACCATAACTCAAATGCATCATTTCTCCTACAATCTTCTTTATTCACTGTCCTACTTTTGCATGTAAATGAGGTTATTGAGAATACCACGGCTTGGGTCAAGCACACCTTAGTCCTCAAGTTAACATCTTTGCTCTTCAATACTTTAAAAAGATCTTGTGCAGTAAATTTGCCTAATGCAATACATCATCTGATTTCTTAACTGCTGCTTCCATGAGTGTTAATTGTTGATCTAAGAAAAATGAAATCTTTGACAACTTCAATATTTCCTCCATCGATAAGAATGTTTTTCATTGGTCCAGTGGTGAAGATTTTTGTTTTCTTTACACTGAGATGCAATCCATACCAAAGGCTGTGCTCTTTGATCTTCATCAGTAAATATTTTAAGTCCTTTTCACTTTCAGCAAGCAAGGTTGTATCATCTGCATATCGCAGGTTGTTAATTAATGAGTCTTCCTCCAATCTTGATGCCATGTTTTTCTTCATATAACCCAGCTTCTCGGATTATCTGCTCAGCATACAGGTTGAATAAGTATGGTAAAAGAATATAACCCTGTCACACACCTTTCCTAATTTTAAACCATTCAGTGTTCCCATGTTCTGTTTGAACAACTACTTTTTGGTCTATGCACAGGTTCCTCATGAGCATGATTAAGTGTTCCAGAATACTCGTACTTTGCAATGCTGTCCATAGCTTGTCATGATCCACACAATCAAAGGGTTTTCAAGGCTATGACCTTTTAGAAGCAGATTACCTGACCTCTCTTCAGAGGCACCAAAGCATACAAAGCCAGGTGATACAAAGGGATCCAGTGCTTACACCTATGCTCACCACATCATTTCTACCTCACTGTCATGACCCACCTCCATCAAACGATTGCTGTACACTCACTTTCTTCAGTGGTGAATCTATGTCAGAGGCCAAGTCCCAGGGTAATTATGCCCTGGGACACTCCCAGGATAGCACTGTCCTTGTTGACAAAGGTGCTCTTTGACTTTCAAATCTTCAGGATCTTATCATATTTAAAGCATCCTGTTATCTAGCCAATTGTCATAACTGACCATGAAGAAATCCCAGGACAAGACACCAAGTTCTCCTTTATGTTTGAACCATTTCTCATGTATAAATCCCTTAATTTTGGGCTTTAACAATTCTCTTGGATACTATCATTTGTAGTAACAAAAAGGTGGGGTGGAAAGTGCCCCCCACATCAAAACACACCCCATATCAAAAGTGCTTTCAGTCTTGTTTTACCACTTGCCCATAAGGTTTTAAGGTAGACTTATGTAAATATCATGGTATCATGGCAAAGGATTGGGTAATGTTTTGTTCTTTTGTTCACGAAGTCACTATGAGTCATGGCAACAACAACAGCCAGCTGCATCGCACTCCACCCCTCTCTGACCTATTTTCTAATCAGTCAAATGGAAGTCAGTACAAAGCCTCTGATGGAGGGCAAAAACCAGATCCCCACAACCTTATCATATCCCTAAGCCCCAGAAGAGAATCTGACACACAGTAGGCACTCAGTAGATGCTTGTGGAATGAATTAATAAACCTAAGAATGTAATAAATGATAAACATAGATTCAGGAGTTGGAGTCGAGAGAAAAAAAATGCAGAAAGAAGGTTTTGAAATGATTAAAAATCCCTCTTTTATTATAGAAAAGAAATCAAACACTCAAGAGAGACTTTCTGTTTAAGCTAGTTGGTAGAAGAGTTTGATCCAGAACCAGGTCCATCTCCCTGTATGGAACTATTCTAACGATATGGTCAATATTAAGATGTAATGCATAAGTAAATAGTATCTCCTCTAACCTCAAAGAGCTTATTAAGCAGCTGCTGCCCAGTTGGTTAGGACTCCTGTCAGCTCCATGTGTGCCAGAATAGAACTAGGCTCCCTAATGATTTCAGTGTCTGGTTTTTGGGAAGTGGATCACCAGGCCTTTCTTCTGACTCAATCCACCAGCCACTCAGTTAGCAGTGAGAATGTTCACCAAGTGCACCACCCAAGGCTTCCCAAAGAGTTTATAGTCTAAAGAGAGAAGCATAAGAGGCAGCCAGGCAATATTCTTGTCATCTGCAGTGTGTCTGTTTTGTTCCTGGTAATCCTCTTTCCACATTTCAATAGCAACAAGGTCATCTGGGTTTTCTACCTCAGGAAAAGGGCCCTGCAGAACAACAGTGCACCAAAAAGTTGAATTTAGCTTTTGATTTTCAAAATATTGTTGAAAATCATGGCAGAAAGGAGGTGAAAAGGGCAAAATCTCAAAAACTTGACTTCCCAGTACTAACAATCATAGTCAGATTATAAATAATGCCATAGATCTTCCTCGTGGATTTGTCATTAGTGAAAAGCTGAAGATTTCTAGTCTAACTCCTTGAATAAAATGCAGTGAGCACCGTGATTCCTTAGGTCTCCCCATGGCATAAATACAGACAAGTCTGCTCTGCATAAACAGCAAGTTCTTGACATAGGATTGTGTGTGACAGTTAAGGTTTGGTGTCATCTTGGCTGGACCTGGATTCTCAGTGGTTTGGCAGTTAAGATGTAGTCATCTCCCATGATGAGATTTAATAGAATGTAATCACTTCCATCAGATGTAACCTAATGTGATCAACCCTCATCTGATGTAATGATTCTATGTGTTCTAAATCCTCACTTCTGTGATGTCAATGAGGCCAGCTGCAATCTACAGGATTATATTGCATCTTGAGTCAATCTCTTTTGAGCTATCAAAGGAAAGAGAACTGAACAGAGAATAAGGGACTTACTGCCCCCAAGAAAGAAGAGCCAGGATTGGAGTGTGTCTTTTGGACCTGCGTCCTTGTTCTAAAGCTCCTAGATCCAGAGAAAGATTGATGCCAAAATGGATGGACATCTCCAAGGAACGATAGGGCTACACATGCTGAAAGGAGACAAGGACCTTTTCCAGACCCAACAAAGAGAGAAACCCTTCCCCTAGAGCTGGCACTCTGAATTTGGACTTCTAGCCTCTTGAACTGTAAGAGAACGAATTTTTGTTTGCTAAGGCATCCATTTGTGGCCATTTTGCTTAGTAGCAGTAGACACCTAGGCCATGGTGTTAGTTGACAGGCTGGACAGACCTGTTGGTGTTGCCATGCTGCTGCTGTCTCCCTCATACCACCACCTGCAGGAAGCCATGTCTGTTGGTCAGGTCCTGCCAGACAACTTTTAATGATGTTAGGGAGTGAATCATCATGTCCCCATTCTCACAGAAGCATGATGGAGGGCCTCAAGAAGTATGATGTCAGGTAGGTCAGAGAAGCAAGATATTTTGGGATGGAAACCCTGAAGTGTTTTACTGTAAAATTGATCTAACTTCTTTCTTCCCCTTAGGATTGGGGTTTGGGAAAGCCTCTACCATTAGACTGACAATATGTCTGCATTCATCATCAAGTTCTCCCAGAAGTCTGGAGACATCCACCAGCACCAGCAGATACTGAAGCCAGTCAACAGCTCCACTCTCCCAAGCCCTTCTAACTAAGAGCTGGAGGGCCTGGTTTCAAGGGTTGGGTGATAGCATTAACATGAACGATGGAGTCATACACCTTGTAATCAGGCACGACTTGAGATGAAGTGCCTTTCAATTTCTGCATCAAAGTTTATTCTCCATTGTTGATTAGCTATGTTCCCACTCTTTGTAATAATCCTGCCTTCCACTGATGAACAGTTTAATGTGTGGAATGGATTGTACATGGAAGGGAGATGTGACATCTTTGCTAACTCAACAATTACTTTTATTTCATTCTTAATTACTTACCCCTGCTAATTTATTTTTTTCTCAGAGAGTACAAGGAGCAAATAAAGAAAATGAGCTTATGACAACCTGAGGTTTTATAGAAGAGCAGCATCATTCACTCATCAATAACATGAAATCTCTGATTCTTGGGACAAAAATCTGTATGTCAATTGCAACACAGTCTTGTTACAACCAACTATATTAAAATCTTCAAATTCATTATTTCAGCACTTTGGTCTCTAAGCTTCTCTCCATTCATAGTTTAGAAACTTGTATCTGTAACTCTTGCCTGTTCAGAATTCTGATTATTAATTATTTGCTCAATAAATCTCCATCACCACTTCTTCTTTCCCAACAGGGTATATTAAGGGACCTGTTTTCCAGGTTAGAATAGCATAATTATTAGCCTGTGTGCTCAGAATATTTGCTATCCAAACTTCATTTTGGAGTCCTGGTGTAGCATTGTAGGATAAACACTGCACTGCTAACCAGAAGGTTGGTGGTTCAAACTCACCAACCGCACCTCTGGAACCCTATACAGGGTCACTATGAGTTGTAACTCACTCTATGGCACTTAACAACAAAAACAAACTTCAATTTTGGAATGGTGGTTGTGGTTGTGAGCCACGGTGTTGGTTCTGACTTACAGAGACCCTATATAGAGTTTTGGAGGCTGCAAATCTTTATGGGAGCAGAAAGCCTCATCTTTCTACTGAGAAGCAGCTGGTAGAGATTGGAACCACTGACCTTGTGGTTAGCAGCCCAACTTGTAACCCACTATGCTACCAGGGCTCTTTCATTTCTGAACTACAAGTGGCTTTAATGTGGTTTTATTCGGCCCATTGCAGGATGCCATCATGGAAGAAAATCTACAGAAAGTAAAACAGCAGTTTATGACTACCCATGATGTCTCTAAAGATGGTCTTATACAGATGAAAGAGGTACTTTGCATGACTATACCTTTCTTGGACTGTAATTTCCTCAGAAAGATAATGAAAACATTACATTTTGATTGGGAAATTAGAATATCCTTTAAGGTAGCGTGTTTATTGTAACATATATTCTCTTTGTTGTTATTGTTAGTAAGTGACATGGAGTCAATTCCAAGGAGTGGCTGGTGAACTTGAACAGCCGACCTTGTGGTTCAAACTGACTTTGTAGTCCAGCGCATTAGCCTGCAGCACCACACCAGGGCTAGGTATTATATTGTTCTCTGGACTCCTGCTGTGACCTTAGAACCACAAGGTTAGCACTTCACACCCATCAACTGCTCCTCAGAAATCCTATGCAGGATCTCTATAAGTTGGAACCTACTCAACAACACTTCATAACAACAATGTTGTTCACCATAGAACCAAAACCAGCGAAGCTTGTTGTTATTGTTAAGTGCCGTTGAGTCAGTTCTAACCCACAGTGACTCCGTATAGGGTTTCTGAGGAATGACTGGTGAGTTTGAACCACCAAAATTGAGATTCAAATGGACCTTGTGATCTAGTGCTTATCTGACGGTGCCACACCAGGATTCCAGTGAAGCTTATATATGTATGTATAAAGAGAGGTTTATATCAAGGAAATGGCTCAACAGTGTAAAGATGGGCAAGTCCCTGGGTCAGCTGTCAGGCTGGAGGCTCCTGACTCATGTTGCTGCAGGGCTGATGAACCAAGATCAGCAGGTCAGATGGCAGGCAGGCAGGCAGGTTGGGCAGGTAAGATGGCCGACTGCTGATGACTCCCAATATTATTAAGCAATAAAGCAAGCCACTGGCTCAAGTACAAAGAACTGGAGGTCAGTTGATGAGTCAGATACAGAATCCATACCCAGCAAAAAGCAAGCAAGCTTTGCCTGGGTGTTCAGTGTATTGGGAGCAGGTCATACTCTTGAGAAAACATCTTTTCCATTGATTAGCTGCTCATAGCTGATCTCATCATGGGGGACTATTGCGGCCTAAGTGTCAAACACTGAGAATCCTGGCCCAGTCGACAGAAAACTGTAACTATCACTCATATATACAGCTAGTAAACTTCATGTACAGCTACCACGTCTGTCAGTGAAGGCTTGTGAAGGCTTACCTTTTCATTTTTCAGTATGTGAGGGAAATTTTCATCCAGCTGCTTTTCAACTATTTCCTTTGTGGACTTGTGTGATTCTTCCTGTTCTGGAATGCCAAGTTATTCCTCTTCATGTTATTCCAACATGAATCTTAGACTTTCTTTAGATTTTTTAAATCCTTTTTTCTGCTTGCTTTTCTATTTTAGCAGTATTGAGAGATTTGTCTTCCAGCTCGCTAGTGCTGGATTCCATCTCTTCAGTTCTACTCCTTTGCCCTTTCAGAGTATTGTCCATTTTGGATATTTTATTATTAATCATTTGGACCTCTTTTTGCATGTTTTGAATAGTTTCCAATGCTGTATCTATCTTATTTGATTGTTCCTTTAGTGCTTTTCTGCCTTCTTCCTTATTTTTATCAAACTCTCTGTGAAGTATTTGGATGCATCTCAATATCATTTTCCTGAATTCTTTCTCAGGCATTTCCAAAACCTGCCCTCATTCCAATGTGATGTCTAGGATTGCCTCCTGCTCATTAGTCAATGATGCTGAACAGCAGACTAAAAAGAAGAGGTGATTCAATATTTTTGAAGTAACCACCTCTTCTTTTTGATCTGTCTAATAACAAGAAGTACACAACTTTCCATCATTTTTTGGGTTTATCAATCAGTATTTATGCCTGTTTTATAATTGAGGAAGTGCGAAATGGTAGACCTTGCAGTTATTTGATGCAACAATTGTCTCTTTGCACAATGTCTGTCTCAAATTGAACCTAGACATAAGGAAATAACTGACAGTAAATGAGGTTAAATTTTAGTATCAGATCCCAGAGGAGGTTGGAAAGATCTATCCATGAAATGCAGTAAGTGCTTAATAGAATTATTATTTTAGATGATATGCTCATAGAAGGCAGATATCCATGATGCTGCATATTTACTAAGGGTGCAATAATTTGGAGAAGACTCAATGAATCAAAGAATGGTAATGAAGGATGAAGAACAGCAAGCTGGAGTCTTCATTCTGAGATCCTAGCCTTTATGCACTGGATGTCCCACCATGGCTTTCATCCATGGAAAAAACAAAACCATACACATTGCCGCTGAGTCCATTCTGATCCATGGAGCATTCCTTAGTTGGACTCTAGTCCTGGTGTGGTTCTGTAGAATAAGCACTGGACTTATAACCAAAAAGCTGGCAGTCCAAATCCAACAGTTGTTCCTTGGAAACTCTATACTGGATCTGTATGAGTTGGAACCAACTCAAGGGCACTTAACAACAAGTCAGAATTAGAGAGTGCTATTTCTTTTTATTTCTTTAGCTTGCCAGCATGTTCTTATCTGAGGATGAAACATTTCTTCTGCTCTTTCGCCGGGAAACTCCCTTGGACAGCAGCGTGGAGTTTATGCAGGTAAGTGTTTGGTTATGTCTCTGTAGGTGGAGAAGGTTGAGATAAGGCCAGGACATTAGCCACCCCCTATGTCTGCCACCCATTTCGCTAAGCCCCTAAAACCAAGGGAAGATGCCCTCAGTGATAAGCCAGGACTTTTGGCTCCATATCTTACTGCCTTCTCAGAGATACTAGACATTTTGTCTAAGTTTTAGAGAATGTCCTGGTTTAGACAGTGCCCAATATGACACCAACTGTCCCTTCCACAGCACTTTCTACTCAGCAGTTCAATAATTCATTGCTATGGCCACACAGAACTCAGATACCATACTCACAGTTACGGAGTATATTAGGGAATTGACAGATTACAATGCAGAATCAGACATGCTCAGCACACAGTTCTTCCAGTCAAGACAGATCTTTTAGGGCTGCTGAAAAATGCCAAAGGACACTACACTCTGATGTAAGCCTCAGCACTGGACTATAATAAGTTCAGTTTGAACCACAAGTTTGGTGATAAAGCTCACCAGCCACTTCTCAGAAACCCTATACAGGATCACTCGATGGCACTTAACAACAATGATGTACCTCCTGGTGTGGTATTGTAGGGTCAGCACTGGACAGTGAACCACAAAGTCAACCGTTCAAACCCACCAGCTGCTCCTAGGAAATCCTATCCAGGGTCACTATGAGTCAGAAGCAACTTGATGGCACTTAACAACAACAACAACAAATGTACCCCCTGGCCCAATGGAGGTTATGTAAAATTGGGCAAAATGCATACAAGAAAATTCACAGGAGAAATTTGAATGGGCAATAATATATGCTGATAACAACAACAACAACAAAAATGAAAATTTAAACACCTCACTTTACTGAAGTGTTAAAGATTTTCAGAGATTTAACACAAACAGGCTGAGTTGGCAAGGAAGCAATGCAGACTGTCAGCCATGCTCTGTTGGTAGGTTGGGCACTGGAATAATTTTTCTGGGAAGCAACTGTGCAAAAATGTATCAAGATCTTTTAGCCTTTCATTATACAAAGTGCTAATTTAAACAAATATAAAAAACTTAACCCTTTGACTAAGTATTTTTATTTTTCCAGGCATTAAAAGGACATCACCAGAGATATAGACACAACTTTTCTGTATAATTTTCATTAAATGTTGCACTGTTAGTTGAAAGTGAAAACGACACAATTGTCGAACAATAAAGGAAAAATTAAGTAAATGATGATACATTTATATGATCTTTTCATTCCACAAATATTATGAGCATCTGCAATATGCCAGACATTGTTGTAGGTGCTGGAGATTTATCAGAGAAATCCCACCATGGAACGCTGCGTATCACAAAAGATCAGAGTAAATAGAATTCATTGTGAAACAACAGAACTATATATGCACTGTTATATGCAAATATTCCCCTGAAAATTCTACCCTCAAATATACAAGACAGTAAGTAAATGCATACAAGAAAAAATAGTTTTTTTTTAAAGTGGCAGGATTTCAAGTGATTTTATTTTCTTTGTGCTTTTTGTATGTTCAGTTTTTTGTAAGATTATTATTATTTAACAGTTATTTTCAAAGTAGTTTTAATTCTATCTCAAAATGTTAACAGAAAATTTTGAATAGAAAATACAAATAGACCATCCAGAGTTCTAACAATATGACCCTCAATTCAGTTTTGTCATATATAACAGAAAAATGATGGAAAAGAAATAGATGTAATGAGGGACTATTCTCTCTGGGGGAGAAGTTTTTAGAGATTATAATTTTCCTAAATGTTTTGTCCTAAATTATTTGAGGATGAATGGATTCATGGTTCTTGTGTATTTCAGATTTGGCGCAAATATGATGCCGACAGCAGTGGCTTTATATCAGCTGCTGAGCTTCGAGTAAGTGCTGCTGGGAACTGCTGTTGAATGAAGATGGGTTTTTCATCACTGGGAATTGGATATATGTGTGTATGATGAGTTGGATTTCTGCTGGCCCAAGAAACATGGGCTAGAAGTTTTTCCTTTTTTTAAAGCATTCATATTTTAAGAAGTGTTAGAAAGTGAAAATGATAGTTTTTTCTGGAAAAGGGACATGGTTGAGGATTTGTGATGTATTTTCATGCCTCGAGTTGTTTTCTGGGTTCTTGAGTTCCCTTCAAATAGTCCTTCAGTTATGGATTTACTGCTTGCTAAAAGTTCTGGTGTGGCGCTGTAGAATAAGCACTGGATTCCTAATTGGCTGTTCAAACCCACCAGTCGCTCCTTAGAAATCTTATAGTCACTATGAGTCAGAACTGACTCGATGGCACTTAATGTCAACAAAAGCTTTTTACATCATCTTGAAAACAAATGAACCACAATTCTTAAAAGAATTGAGAGCTTTAGCTTATTTGCTCATTTTATAAACTGTAACTCTCTTCTTGTTGCCACAGAGCTTCCTCAGAGACCTCTTCCTGCATCACAGAAAGCCCATTTCAGAGGCTAAGTTGGATGAATACACTGGCACTATGGTAAGTAGCTGAGTCACTGCAACTTCTTCATGGTCTTCCCAGGGCCCAGAAATGGAGCCTGGCACAAAGTAGGTGCACAAGAAATATTTGCAGACTAAGTGAACTGCATGAAAAAACTCAATTGTAGAAAAATTGGCTAAAATGTAGCTGCTTTTGTTTCTCCCTTGAGACTAGACTGCATGCATCGGGGAGAGGAAGTTATTTGAGGAGACCTGGAAACTCCAGTCAACATAAGGTTAACAGACACCAGAACCCAATGTTATAGAAGCAAGTAAGCAATCATGGTCAAACAATGGATGGCTCTACTCATTTAGCATGCTAATTTAGTGTAGTTGAGAGTCAGATGAGGAGTGCTTGCATGTGTGCTCCACTTCCACCACTTACTAGCTAAGATCTTGGGAAATTGTCATGCCTCTCAGATTTATTTCTTTCGTATCTAAAAAAGATGAGATGCAGTAAATTCCAGCTGATGGCAACCCCATGTGTGTCAGAGGAGAACTGTGCTCCACAGAGCTATCAATGGTTAGCAAAGCCTCTGGATGGACCTGAATCTTCAACCTTTCAGTTAACAGATGCCAGCCATGTTAACTGTTGGCACCACCAAGGGACTCCAACATGAGAATTACATTGTTGTTAGTTGTCATTGAGTCAATTCTGACTCATGGCGACCCCATGTGTGCAGAGTAGAATTGGTCCACGGTGGTTTCAAGTTTGTGACACTTCAGAGCCAGATCTCCAAGCCTGTCTTCTCAGGCACCTCGGGTAGCTTTGAACTGCCAACTTTTCAGTTAGTAGTCAACTATTTCACAATTTGTAAAACCTGGGGACTTCTAAAATGGGGATTGTTGTTGTTGTTAAGTGTCATCGAGTCAGTTCTGATCCATAGCGACCCTGTATAGGGTTTCTGAGGAGCGGCTGGTGAGCTTGAGCCACTGACCTTGCAGTTCAAAACGACTTTGCAGTCCAGCACATTAACCCACAGTGCCACACCAGGACTCCTAATGGGGATTGTTGTTGTTGTTGTTAAGTGCCATTGAGTCAGTTCTGACCCATAGTGACCCTGAACTGGGTTTCCAAGGCTGTAAATCTTTACAGGAGCAGAAAGCCTCATCTTTCTCCCGAGGAGCAGCTGGTAGTTTCGAATTGCTGACCAAAACACTCTTAATTATTGTGAGGAGACAATGTGAGTTGATAGACTCTGAATAGTGTCCAGAACACCATCAGTGGTCAAGACATGCTAGTTCTCATTGTAATGGCTGCTGGGGTTCTTGTTATTATTTCATTTTCTCTTGTGGAAGCCACATCTTCAATAACACTTGATACTGTTTCAGTGTCCCAGCTCCCTGGAAAGTGATGGTATAGGAGAGATGGTGCTTGAGGTGAACTCCTTCTCTTGTTTCAGTGTCTACCTTCATGCCTTTCTCCAAGTACTTGTCAATAATGTATTAAATTTAGTTCCTCTACTTTTCCTTTCCTTACTCCCCACCCAAAACCACCCAACCCCCAAGCCTCAGGTGTGTGTCTCATGCTCATCAAATTCTACAGGTGTTTTAACTTATGGACCAAGAGTTTGCTGGTAAAGGTTCATTTCTTAATGGATTGTTACATTGATTATAGAAATAGTTTTAAACAGGGGCATGTTAAGGTTCCCTACGGCAAATAGTTTTAAACAGGTGGGGATGCGTATCACCATGACAAACACAAACAAACCAAACATGTTGCCATCAATTGTGACTCATGGTGACGCCACATGTTACAGGGCGGAACTGCTCCACTGGGTGTCAACACATTTTAAGGAAAGCTCCATCTGTAGACCAGGACATCATGATTGGTAGAGAGGGTCAGCAATGAGGGAAGTCCTCAGGGAGATGACTGACACATGCCAGTCAAAGCAATGGATTCATCATGAAGATGGTTCATGACTGGGCGACATTTTGTTTGTTCTGTTATCTGTAAAGTCACTATGCATTAGAGCTGATTCAATGGACGCTAACAATGATAATCGGAGTAGAAGCAGATTGCCAGACCTTTCTTCTGTGGTAGTGCTGGGTGGGTTCAAACTGCCAACCTATAGGTTAGTAGTCAAGCACAACCATTTTTGCCACTTAGAGATCTAACCACTAAGTTGGTGGTTCAAACCCATTGGCTGTTCCTCTGAAACCCTACACAGGGTTGCTGACTTGGAACCAATTTGATGGCATTTAATAACAACAACAGCAATGAAGAGACCTATATCACTGCAAAGAAACTATAAATTCCTGATAAAATGTATAATACTAGGTTGATCCATTTAGACCTGTAATAAGTGTTTTCCAAATGCTGAAAATGATTTATAACAACTTCTCTACAGTGTTGGCATTGTTCAGGCTATTTTATACTTCTGATGATTGAGGCTCAGAATGGGTAAGTGACTTGGACAAGGTCAGCCCCAACTTGAATTTTTAAACTCATGGGAAAGATCAAATAACCAAGAAAGGTTTTGCTATCTGGACAAAGGCACCAGTTAAACTTGAAGCTGAGCTCTCCTTGCTTTCCTGTGGACTCTGAGCACTCTGCACCCTGCCCCCAATCAAGGGAAATCTGGCCAGGGAGGAAAGAAAGTGATGTTGACCATGGTAACTTGTAAATGGCCTAGATAGGAGGGAAGCAGATGCCAAGGAGAGAATCAAATCCCAGGACAGGATCTCGATAAAGGAAATCATTTGGCTTCTTACTCTGTTAATCTGTTTTAATTGCATGCAGAATGATGTTTGAAATCCTGAGTAAATATGTGCTCAGCACTAAAGAGTGAAATGGGAAATCCCGTAGAAACAGGAAGCAGTCTCTCAGCTACAGGGCAAACTCTGGGTTCCTTTTGATTTAAGTTCGAGTGAAACCCTCTAGTGAGGTAAATAACATGAAAAAGGAAATAGGATTGGAACTGTGTCAGGGACAGAATAACAAAGAAGTTGCTTTTCTAGTTGAGCATTTAAAACAATAATTTAATAGAATGCTAATTCTGCCAATCATTGTCTTGATTTTATTAACTTAGAAAACATGTTGTACAAAATGAAATATTTTTATTTAGTATTTCCAGTATGTTTCTTTATTTCCCTAAATATCTGTGACTCTGAAGCTCATTATCCACCTCCAGTAAACAATATTGAGCTACTGATTTCTGTCTTCTTAACACAGTTTGGCTGTTTTTTTACCTCCTGTTTTTCTTCACCTGGTTCATTCTTCATGTTGGTTAAGACATCATCTCTCTCTAAAACTTCTATAACCTTCTCAATAGTGAATCCAAATACCCCTTCTAGGTGCCCCTATTTGTTGTTATTAAGTGCTATCGAGTGGATTCCAACTCACAGTGACCCTGTATAGGGTTTCTGAGGCCTTTGTATATGTCACTGTCTTAATACTTACTACAGTCATTCATTTAATTCACTCTATAAATATTCACTAAACTCGTACTGAACGCTGGTAGCATAAAATGTGATGTATCACTCTTATATGGCCTTTCTAGCCATGGTCTTCTAACTACCACCAAATAATTAGGTGGTATCATTAGGTGCCACCAGTCAGTTCCGACTCATAGAGACCCCATGAACAACTGCCCAGTTCTGTGCCATCCTCACAATTGTTGTTATGCTTGAGCCCATTGCTGCTGCCACTGTGCCAGTCCATCTGGGGGGGGGAGGGTCTTCCTTTTCTTGCTGACCTGCCACTTTACCAAGTATGGTGTCCTTCTCCAGGGACTGGTCACATCCAATAACATCTGAAGTATGAGAGATGAAGTCTTGCTATTATGGCTTCTAAGGAGCATTCCGGTTGTGCTTCTTCCAACACAGATTTGTTGGTTCTTTTGGCAGTCCATGGTACTTTCAATATTCTTCTCCAACACCATAACTCAAAGGCATCATTTCTTCTACAGTCTTCCTTATTCAATGTCCAGCTTTCACATACATACAAGGTTACTGAAAATACCATGGCTTGGGTCAGGCGAACCTTAGACTTTAAACTGACATCTTTGCTCTTGAACACTTTAAAGAAGTCTTGTGCAGCAGATTTACTTAATGCAATATGTCATTTGATTTCTTGACTGCTGTTTCCATGAGTGTTGAAAGTGGATCCAAGCAAAATGAAGTCTTTGACAACTTAAATGTTTTCTCTATTATGATGTTATTTATTGGTTCCTTTGTGAGGATTTTTGTTTTATTTACATTGAGGTACAAACCATGCTGAAGGCTGTGGTCTTTGATCTTTATCAGTAAATGTTTTAAGTTCTCTTCACTTTCAGCAAGCAAGATTGTATCATCTGCATACTTCAGGTTGTTAAGGAGACTTTCTCCAATCCTGATGTCATGTTCTTCTTCAGATAATCCAGCTTCTGAAGAAGCTGTTTGGGTGTGACTACGCAAATAAAGGGCTCAAGTGTGGTAACAATTGTGAGGTTGGCCCAGGACTGGGCAGTGTTCATTCGGTTGTACATAGGGTCCCTATGAGTTGGTACCAACTCGATGGCACCTAAGAACAACAACACAAATCTGGCGTCTATTTTTCAGTCTCCATGGTATTCATCACTGGAACAGAGCATTGCCTAATACGAAAGAGTTGCATTGTTCCTTTCACCCTTAAATACAACAATATCACTTTGAGACCTGATTGAAATATTTTTGAAAAGTCTTCCTCATTGGTATCTTTCCTTCTGAGATTCAGCCGTCCAATGCATTTTTCAAAAAAGATGATGCAATGGAGCCCTGGAGATTACAGAGAAACAAAAATTCTTGAATTTCTGCAAAAGCAGGACAAGAAAAGATAGATGATGGTGGTCAGGAAATTACAAGTTAAATTGTTACAAGAGACTCTCCTCCAATGAGTACTTGAGGTATTTTAAATTTTTCATTGAAAAATACCTACCTCTTATACTAGTATTTAGGAGTTCTGGTGTGGTGCTATAGGATAAGCACTGGACTGCTAATCACAAGGTCGGAGGCTCAAACCCACCAGCCACTCCTCAGAAA